TTTTTTAGAAATTGAATATTTTCCTATATTTTACTAGTTGTTGAACAATCTCATCTATTTTTCAATATTGATCTGCATTATGATAAAGACATATTATAGATAAATAAATATTAATGAATTTTTTTTTTTCAAAAGTCAATTGAATTTTGTTTATAAGAACAATGAGAGAGATAAATGTATAAGATAAATCATGAACATAACAAAATTAACATAAAGAAACAAAAATAAAAGAACGAATGAGAAGTAACATATGTCAACATAGGAGAACTTTACATCAGACAAGATGATTCAAAACTTATCTGAGGAAAATTCTATCAAGAAGAGCTACACTTTGTTTTTTTTTTTTGTTTTTTTAATTAAAACTATAGTTTTTTCAATTGAGTCTCCTTTAACAATTTTTCCTTCCTCTTTTTCTTAAACTATATTTTCTATATATAACAATCGATATTACAGAAAAATTTTTCAAAATAAAATAATATCTTCAAATAAATTACATTGATTAAAATCTATAGTTTTAATCAAAAACATATAGCAATTCTATCATTGACTTTCACCTAAAACAAATTTGCACACTACTCTAACTTATAGAATGCTATTAAGAAATTGAATTCGATCCTGTCTAGCATAAAACTCTTGATCATATGTAGACAAATGAGGAAGAACAAAAAGAAAATAATAGCAAAAAAACAATAAAGAAAAGTTACTATTTTCCATTTCAATCGTTGAAATTTATTGATTTTCTATGTAGGCCATATTGAAATCGATGAAACGATAATCAATATTGTCATCATCTATTTGTGTTTCTTCATTATCACCATTCCAACTTTTATTAATTATGCTTAATTGAAATAGTTGTAATTCATTTTTGATAAAGCTACATAATTGATTATTAATATCATCGATTATTTTATCTTTTTCATTATTTCTAAACATCCAATTTGAATAAATTTTTCCATCAGTTCTTAAAGAACCGATACAAAACTTCCGGTTGAAATCATCATTTAATTTTTCAATATACAATGAGCATAGATAACATGGTAATTTCGATATTCCAATTTCTACATCTTTATCATGAACTTCTTTTATATTTTGTTCAATTAAATAATCTATCATTCGAATTTCACTATGTCAACATGTTAATAATTTAAAACTTGAATCATATTCAACAAATTTATTTTCAATAAATTTATCTTGAAATTCTCTTTTTATTTCATCATTTGCTAAATCACATGCTAACAAAATTTTATCAAATGAAGATGATGGTGTTTCCTTTAATTCGACGATTGTTTTAATTGGTTCAATAAAAGACCATTGAATATTTTTATATTTTTGACCATATTCAGATTTTCGTTTTTCTAAAGTTTTTAATATTAAATTCAATGATCGTCGATGTGCAGATACTTTATCTAAATAATATATAATACGTTCAGTATCATTACTGTTTGAATATACTTCTGATAGTATAAAACGAAATATTTCAGAATTATATAAGAATTCACCAGTTACTTGAAATTTCAAAATAATTTTTAGTTCAACATTGTTTTTATTGTTTTTGATTGCATCTCGATTTAAAGTAATAAACTTGATCCAATCAAATAATATTAAAATATATTCTTTTAAAAGAATATTTTTCTCTTTTAAATAATAATAATCAGTTGAACCTTTTTTCAATTTATTGTAAGTAATTTTTTGACATAAATTATCAACATTAACATTTGGCAATTTTTCTAGATTTGAAACAGCATCATCAAATAAATCATCAGTTATACGTTTAATACATTTATTCTTGTTATATTCAAATATAATAGATATTAATAATGAATATATTTTGCCCATATCATGTTCATTTGATGTTAAACATGATTGTGAATATTCTCTTATTAAACCAAAAAATTTATCAAAATAGATTTTATCATCATTTTTTAATGATTCATTACGTGTTACTAATATTTATTTTTCTTTCAACAATGGATAAACTGATGTAGATTGATTTGAATCATTAAGTAATAAAGCGAGACCATCGAGATAACTATGACGTAGAGTTTTTGATCTACTTGGTTGTTTGTCAGTTTGAAAAGGAAATAAAGATGATATTATCAAATTATTATAAAATTCAGATGAAGTCATCTAAAAAATAAAATAAAAATTTATCGAATTTTTTTTAATATGATATTGTAACGATAATATGTCTTTTAAAAAAATTATTATAATATTATTTTCTTCGTTTATATGATTAGATTCGTTTAAAATCTGTGTGACTGAGAGTCATGATTGAATCAATGAAATATATGATAGTAATCATCATTCTAATCTCTTCGACATATTTTTTTTAATTGATCATCTTCAATGAAATGCTTGGAGTTTCTCACAAAAGACAACATAACTTAACCATAAATCGTATGTTTGAATAGAGAAAAGAAAAAATTCCTTGATTCGTCAGTCTCAATCGATGTCCATTGGAAAGCAAAAGATGGCGCAAATAGCAAACGTCTGTATTTATTATGTGTGTTATACAAAAGAGACTTACTAACTTGTGGAAAAAAGAAAAATTTTAGTTAACATTATCTTTCATTAGAATATACAAATTGGTGTGACATGAATTCCTAGTCAATGAAATTGACCAACTGTTCCTCTATCATAATAATAGATTTCCTTCTTTTTTTTTTTATTATGCGAAATTAAACCCTCTGACCATGTCGGTCCTAAAGGGACAGTGTAGCTTACAATTAACAAGTTGCACAAAGAGAGAAAAGCGAA